GAGGGATGGGCTGTGTGTGGCTAGCTGATAACCATCATGTCTAGGAGTCCCTGCTTGTCTGCCGGGACTCGGCTTGCATGTAACTACTGCTGCCCATGAAAAGTCGTTTCACTGACCAGCAGCCAGATATATTTACCTGTGGGGTAGAATTGCCCTCTGGGCTTCTGTGGCTCCAGAGACCCCATTTGCAGGTGGGCTGGGGTCTGAGCAGAGACCTGAGTCTGGTTCCATGTGTTTTGTGGATGCTGCTCCTCTCAGGACAGGGAGGACCGGGGACCTGCTCCTCCCTGGCAGCCTGGGCAAGTGGAAGCAGCTCACATGCATAAACCCCTTCCCAGCAGACCCTGTCCCTGAGCACCCAGAGCCTGCCTCCCCTCTGCCCGCAGCTGTCCGCCAAGGGACCATGCCAGGCCTGTATGACCTCTCCTCCTGGGAGGCTCTGCCCCTGAAGAGCTCCAGGGTGAAGGCTTGTGCCAACGGGTACTCCCTGAGCATCACCGCTCACCTCATGTACACCAACCCTCATGAGGAGCCCGTGGAAGGTAAGGGGGAGCTGTAAGGGCTGGCAGGGACCCGAGCTGCCTGCACAGCCCCCTAAAAACACCCCCTCTCCAGCCCACCTGTGTCCCAGCCCCCAAACCTTGCTCAGTTTGGGGAGTGAAGGCGGAGGTCAGCGGTGGGGGGCACCGCCGACACTTGGCATCACCCTGCGGGCAAGAGAAGGGTGAGGCCAGGCAAAAACATTCCTAATGCTGAGGAAGAGGCGTGTTTCCTCCTCCCTGCCCTCCTCTGGGCTAGTGAGGCTCTGGGTCCCTCTCGCGTGTTGCCCCGCTCTCATGCGTTTAGATCATCCTGCTCTTAGCGATGCTGCCATGGGCCAGCCAGCACCACGGCAGTGTCCGGGGTCTGCCTCGGGGCTCTCTCCCACCCGCAGGCATCTTCATCTACCCACTGGAGGAGTCGGAGGTGGTGGCTGGCTTCGAGGCAGCGGTGGGCCGCCGGCGGGTGACGTTCCAGGTCCAGAACCGGCACCGGGCACAGGACTGCTGCCTCCAGTGCAGCCCCAGCTCCAGCCGGCCACGCCGCTGTGCCAGTGGTAAGTGCTGTGGCACGGGCGATTCTGTTGGGTCCTCCCAGCCGGGAGTCTTGGAGCCTGGGGAGGGCTCCTCATCCGCACCACTGCTTTTCCATGAGGACCACTGCTGCTCCCTGTGCCAGGGCAGCCCCGTCCCTTTCCCCTTCGTCTGCCTCTCCTGGGTCTTTACCCTTTGCATGGCCTCTGTGGTCCCCTTTGAGAGTAATTAGTGCAATTAACATCCCCCGTCCCCAACTTCGCTGACTCACCTGCGTCCCTCCTTTGCCCAGGCCACCTCGTCCTGGATGAAGACGCAGAGCGCTCCGCCTTCATCATCGTCACGGGCACGCTGTGCCCAGAAGAGAGCCTGGCCATCACCCTGAGCACGGCGCAGGAGCTGCCCACGCTGCTGGATGGGGCCCTGCGCCTCCTTGTCCCCCCCGTCCTGATGCCCCGCGTCCCTGCCGTCCCCGAGAGCGAGACGGCAAGCTTGTGTGACGACAGGTTGGCCCTATGGTGATTTTCATGGCTTCCTCAGTCTCCGCCATCCCGGGGGGTGGATGCCGATGCTGGGTGAGCGGTGAGGGGGGCAGGAGGCATCACTGCCTCTCCCCTCGCACCCCTCGCAGCCCTACCAGCTGTTTCGGGGGGCCAGGTGCCCGGAGCCAGCCATCCCCCATGGTGCCTGCAGAGAGTGTGGATGTCTTTCGTGGACAACCCTGCAATCCCTTTCCTTACGAGTTTGCCTTTGAGCTGCTGGTGACGGGCCCCTGCTTGCTGGCAGGTAGGGGGTAGATCAGGCGGTGTCGTTTGGTTGGGTAAAACCTTCTGAACTATGGGTGACAGCCCCTGGGATGGCGTCCTCCTGGTCCTTCCGTGCTTCTAGGGGGACACAAGCCCCCTTCCCGGGCAGACTCTTGCACTCTCTACCCCCAAAGAAGCACTTTTCCCATGCCACCCCCAGGGCTGGGACCCCCAAAGTCACCCCACACGTGGCTTTGGGTGGCTCTGGGTCAGCAGCTTCCTTCCCCGGGGAGACACGATGAATGAGGGAGAGGACGGGTGAAGAGGGGATGTGGGGCAGTGGGGATGCACTCCTGGCTACCGGTCCAGTTACTGCCGTTAGAGCTGGCAGGGGGCA